ATGGCATTTTTCCTTGGCATAATCCATTGCCATTGGTATAATTCATTGGCAATTTCAGATTTATACAGGGCCGTAACTAGAGCGATAATTGGGGAGGGGGGTGTATATTGATATATTCGTGTTCTGCCCGACGGATTGCTTTTGTTTTTACGGTATGTGAACATGAATATGGACCCCCCAATTATCGCTCTAGTTAAGGTCCTGTCCCTGGATTTTAAAATACCTTCATGATGTCCGATTTCAGGAAAAACAGAAGGGACGACGGCAAACTTGTGAAGTTTTTGAGTTGCCATACAATAGCATCAGTTTCGGAAGCAATCTGTACAACCCTTGTTTTCTTACTGCGTTTATTATACCCAATTTCTCGGTTAGATTCCGTCATTTCGACATCAAGTCCCAAAACCGTTTCATATTTTAATTTGTTTAAGACATTTAAAATAACTAAATCACGTTCTTGCGAAGGCTCTTTAACAATATGTATGTTCCCTGTAAAGCGCCTTATAGGATACTGCAGTAATTCGTCTTCACTTAACCGTAGTTTTGACGATCCGAGTTCAAAACTCGCTTCACTTTTTTGCTTATTAACTCTGAATTCTTTGCCTGTATCTTTGCTAAACTTCGCGTATGTTTTGTCCGTTCTTCGCAAGCGTAGGTAGTTGGTAACTTTCGAAGTTTTCTTGAATAAAATTTCCACTCTTCTTAAGGCCGCCATATTGAATCATGCTAAACCGGAAGCGCCGGAAGCCAATATACCTTCCGTGTTTCCATTCTGATGAAGTAGGTTTTCTTCATAAACGAACATTTTTAAAAATATGTATGATTTTCGCAAGATATATAAACCAATAAACTCAAATGTCATATTCATTATTAAAGGTATTTATTTTTTTGCCAAAAGCTCGGCACTGCTTTCAATTATTTAACAGTTTGTACGGTATTCACTATTGTACCAACTTGAAGGAGTTCTAGAAACAAAACATGCACGAAAGTCTGCTTCAGAATGTGGAAACACCAAGTGTACAAATTTATTATTCAAAAATCAAGATGGCGAACTGTTTATGACAAATTTTGTCGCAAAAACTTTATTTTATGCTACTTCTGTATAAAATGGCGTCCAGTGTAGACACTGAAACAAAAGAAAAACAACTAATCGTCCTTTCTTTACCTGATGATAAATATTACCGTAAAAGTTTAGAAGATATCGAATGTTTTATTCGTGACATGAGCGAGAAAACCGCAGAGCTTGATGATTTTTTGGTCGTATATTCAACTGCCTTGAAAAAAAGATACAAAAACCGCTCTACCTCTCCGTTGGGGTTGAATACAAAACGCTTCATTGTAGAAGAATCATTGGATCTATGGATGCGTGACTTCAGCCCAGTTTTGCCAAAACATCAAGTGAAATTTAGCTACAAGCCTAAATATTTAAAGTCAAAAGATGCGAAATTTGTCGAATCCGAGTTTATGAAAGTTTTGGGGAAAATGGATGTTCAGTTCAAGCGTAGTGAACTTATCTTAGATGGGGGAAATGTTGTAGACAATAATAGTAATAAGGTTATAATTTCAGAGAGAATTTTTCTTGAAAATAAAGGGAAGACACCACAAGTTTTGCAAAATGAATTGGGGAATTTATTATCTGCGAAGGTTGCGTTTATTCCAGACCCCGAGGATACGACAGGGCATGCCGATGGTATAGTGGCATTCCTTGAAGATGATGTATTGTTGATTGGGGACTATGGGGACAAGGAATATTATGAAGTTGTAGAAGTCGCTGTGAAATCTGTGTTTCCCGAAGTGGAAACATTTAGGTTGCCTTGCGGAAAGCAAGATAACAGTTTAGGTACTAGAAAAAACTCCACCTTGTAACTTCTTTCAATAGCAGCAATCCATTCCAAAAAGTAGGGGAGATGGAGCTGTAAAAGTCTGAAAAGTGTCCTTGAAAGTGTCCTCTGAGGGGGACATGTTCTTGCCATCCCCACAGGATTTACATTTTTGACTTGTTTATGCCAGAAAAAGAGGCCCCAGGCTTAGGAGGGGTGGAGGATGAGAGAAGAGTGCTTCTGGTTTGAAACACAGAGCACTGACTGGCATGCCCATACTACCTCTAGACAATTTAAAACTGATAGAGCTATCCAGTATAAATAAAGTAAGTTTAGTTTTGGTGTCCTTCAATAATAATATGTACGCCAATGGGAGATTGCCCTTACTGAAATTGCACGAAGGACAGTTTAGAAGTTTGGTTGAGCAATGCTAATAAGAATAGATAAGTAACTTTTGATTAGTTTTGGTTTTGTGCTACAGGTAGTTAGTAATACTGAGCAATCTAGAAGAGCTACACAAATAAACTTATTGTAGTTTACTATTGTTTTCATTCTATAGTTGATAAAAAGTGGAAAGGATTTACAACAGCAGTGGGTAGTTATGCTAATATGTTGGTTACAAACAATGCAGTCTATGTTCCACAGTACAATCAGCCATCCTATGACACACAAGCAATTGAGGTTACCAAGTCCCATACCAGTAAAAAAGTTGTGCCTGTGGATATGTCGAAGTTGTCTCACATGGGCGGTAGTGTGAGATGCATGTCTTGGCAAATAGAATCTTCCCATCCAATCGCTCAAGCTTTAAACAAAAATTCTACAGTTTAAAAATAATGTGAGGGTACATGAAATGTTTAACTCATTCTGGACCATTACGACCATGTGAATAATTTATAAATGTTGAAACTGCTGACGTCCAGATAAATGTTCTTTACTCAGGTTGACGCTGTCGTCGTCGTGGTTCTTTTCACATGTTTTAAGGAGAGATTGTTTTTACATAATATGCTTTCTTATGCCAGTAAAAACACTCAAAACTAACTATGAGTATAATATGCTGCTAGTGGTTACGACAACATTCAAAACGTTTATTAATTTGATATGCGTTTGTCAATCAGTAAACAAACGTAAAAAGTATGTTAAGTGCTTTATCTGTAAAATAAAATACTAAAACTAAGGCACCAAGCAAGGAATTTTAGATGGTATGCCAAAAAGAAAATGATGCCAGACTGAATTTCTGTAAATATTGTTTACATTGCAACTGTAAATATGAGTCAGTTTTCGAGCATCATTGACTGATATGATAACTGGGATTGTTGACAATTAACTTTCAGATTTAATTTTTTTAATCCAATCTAATTATGCTCACTCCACTGCACTGCAGTTAATATACCATTCACGCATGCTTCCGTTTTATTGTTTCGAACATGTTATTATTTTTTACTGATTTTGTAACAGTCTATCACCCAAATTAACATTATGCTGATTATATTCCACATAAACAGCAAAAAATACCGTCACAAATGGCTGCATCAGTTGATGAGTCGAACTCGCAACTATAATTTCCAGCCAGATGACCTTCACTATTTCAGACCTGTCAACCTTAAAATTTTAAAACAGGGAGATTTCTCTTTTTAGCCCTTAAAAAACTGTGAGATTTTATCAAAAACCGAGAGAGCAAAATTAAAGTCATATGCAGTGACCAGTGTTCAAAACAGGAAAAAATTGTGATCATTTTCCCGGCATTATAATAATTATGATTACATTCGTTTCAACAACTTGTTTAATTTAATTTAATTTAATTTAATTTAATTTAATTTAATGCTAACATGGCAGGAATGCAACTAGTTTTCGAGATCCCATGTCACATCTCATATCCTTGCAATAATCTATACTTATCGCTTATAGTGCGAAAGTGGATAAAAAAAAAGCCAAACACGTGTAGTTCATGCATGGAGTAAGTTTCAGCTTGGAACACGAGTGATTTTCACACAATTACTATTTCTTGCCAGATATTTGAATCTGGAATATACCATTACCTCATAACAATTAAAACAAGCAACCGGGAGAAAATACCTTGATACCGGGAGAAAAAGGGCAAAACCGGGAGTCTCCCGGAAGAGTTGACAGGTCTGCTATTTTTGTGTGTTTTCAGGTGATTGTATCTTTTTCAAAGGATTGCTGCTGTTGAGATCAAATCTCAAAGTTGATAAGAGTCGATGAGAGTTTGTCGTCAAACACGAGTGCGAGTCGCAACACTCGCCAAATCTCATCTTCGTTTCATCGGGAATTTAGCGTTATAGAATTGGAGTTAAAATTAGGATTGCATTATTCTTAGGAATGTTAACTGCTTTCTGTTCGCTGTATTGAAATTAAAAATGTTCCGAAGAAATTTTCCTGTCAATATCATCACTTTCGAATTCGGTATAGTTCTGCCCTTATGTCATCTTATCTAAAGTGGAAATTTCCAAACGGAAGCCAGAATATGCCGGGAATGATCCAGAACAGAACGTCGAAAATTCGTGCAATTTTTACAGCTCATAAATTACACACTCTAAAGAACACCACTTAGCTAGTTCCATCGAACAAATATCTTACATTTTCACTTCGTTTTTTTATTCTTTGATATGAGAATTCCACAACTGATTTATAGACGGTCCAAATTTTTTAACCTATCCAGAACTCAGAAGCCTTGGCCGCTGATGACGTTTTTCGACACCTCAAGTAAACGAAATTTTAATGTGCCAATATATAAGACAAATTGGTAAAATCACGTTTATATATAGTATCATCGCTATAGTTCATGATGACTGATGACTTTTATCATTTTTAATATGAACTTACGCCATTATAATTGTAAATATTTGACAATCTTATTAAACTTTGTATATTTATAAAATCTAATTTCATTGAAATCGATATGTAGAGTGTTACGCAATTAAGCTCCTCAGCTACAAATGTAATACTGAATAATACCCCAATATGTTAATATTAAAAATTAATGTTAGATATTAAAAAGTAGTTCTTAACTAAGATATGAAGTATTTAATAATTAGTCATACTCATAGCTAGATATACTAATTTTGTATTAATATATAGATAAAGATGGAAGATTATATTTGTAGCTAAACTGGTATTTTTTATAACCTTTAAATAAAGTTTTAATATACTAATAATAAATGAAATAATATTAAATGGATTTAAATCACTGATTAAATATAGGCCTACAAATAAGTGAAATAACTAAGATAACGTTTAATTAAACAGTTAACAGTTCCGGATAATAACAATAATAATAAAAACAATAAGTTTATTGTGGAATACTACCTAGACCACTAGACCCCTTTGGCATTTCATGACACAAAGTTTCTTTCTATAGAGAGAATGAAAATACTACCAAAAAGAAAAATCAAGGAACTTGCAATTACAACCTTACAAAGTCATACATCTTAATGCCACCCTCACAAGCGACAAACTCGATCCCCTTATTTCCGTGTTCGGGCTTTCTTTGAATGTGAAAGAAATTACCAGTTCCGCTTCTCGTAAAAACACCGTCTGTAATTTCAACTTGAGTTTTCCGGCTTATTGTCAGAATGATTGAATATACAGTGTTGGATGCCGGTTTGGTTTTAAAATATACGTGAAAGTTTAAGATAACGAGAACCTTTGGACCTCAGGAGTCGGAGCGAGAGGTTTGTAGCTGAACACTCCATTTCTGCATTTCTTTGAAATGTTCAAATAGTGTGGTAAACAACTTAATGAAACATTGTTTTTCGAAGAATGGTCTTGTTTTTAGCCATAACTTGTTCACGGAGCTTGTTTGGTCCGGTGTCAAGCGAAATTCCTGACCTCTGCTAAATACCTGACCTAGCGTGACGGGTTAGAAATTTCGCGCGTACAGGCGCGAAATACATGACGCTTGCTAAATTCTAAGTCGGCCAAAACTGTTTTTTAGAGTTTAGATAAAATAATCATGATGTTAATTTCTAATACTTCGTTAAATATTTCAAATCGACATCGCTAAGTTTCAATCACAAACACTTTAAATTTCAAAGCGAATTGTGTGGTCGTGACCGCGAAATACACGACGTTTGCTAAATACGGTCGGTCGAAACGATTTTTAAGTCCATATGCGATGTTACGAAATGTTTCTAGCATAGACATCGCCAAATCTAAACGGCCAACTCATGAACTTCGAACTCATCGTTGCTGCTTACTAAATAGTGAGAAGGTCAAACGCGAAACGATTTTTAGTGCTTATAGTATAGTAATGCATATACGGCATAACCTTTGAAACTGATCGCTTTTCGAGTGATTTTTCCATATCTACGATTCAAGGTTTATTATAATGTTCACAATCAGTGGTATAGTGTCAATTCAGTTGATCAATTGTAGAATTAAGGTTGGAAAATTTATGTATAAATAAAATGGCTTTATAAATACACGTGTTCACGTGTTGTCTGTTCAGTTGCGAAATTTATGAGCCAAAGTCATTCATGCGCATCGTCTGCGCATGGGCAGTTCTACAATAGTCAGATATTTCGCAAGTCAGGAATTTCGCGTCACACCTGACAGTAGGATCTGTCGTTGCATGGACCGATCCCCTACGCCGGCTCGATATCCTACACTCCAGATCAGAGACCCCAGATGATCTCTCGCTTAGTCAGTCATACATACACATAATTATAATCCAGATCGATGTATATATATATATATATATATATATATATATATATATATATATATATATATATATATATATATATATATATATATATATATATATAAAAATATATATATATATATAAAATTTGGTTTTGTTGGTTATAAAATCTTTTGGCAAAGTGCTCAACGGAAAACCAGAGCATATTTAAATTAAGGTACAACAAATCAACAAAATCCACTATAGGCAAGTAATAAAGATGCCTAGTGGATTTTGTTGATTTGTTGTACCTTAATATATATATATATATATATATATATATATATATATATATATATATATATATATATATATATATATATATATATATATATATAGTATATATATATATATATATATATATATATATATATATATATATATATATATATATATATATATATAATTTAATTTCTTAACTTAAAATATAGTCACAACTCTGAGTTTCACGCTCAATGCGATCTTCAGGCGACAATGTTTAAATCTCAATAAAAATTCCTGTATGATTACGTGAGAGTTCGTTAGGCTACTTGCGTGATGGTATTGCGTGCGCACGTTCAAATTTTCCCGCCAAGAATTGTTTCCGGTGGCAACACTTCGAGAATAGTTCACATCTCCTGTTCAGTAATCTTTTCTTATCACCTTTCAAAATTTCGAGTTTCTCTTGGAGGCATAGGTTGCAACTTTTTGCGCCGCTGCGATAAGATGATGCTTGCTTCAGAATGGACCACTTGATGTTGAATGTACGTTTCTTGTTTTTCAAGTTCCAAATGTGTTTGGACAGCTCAGTGGATTTTACATAGCTCGGGTCTTTGAATGATGTCTTGTGGTTGTAATAACGTTTCTTGAACGTGTTTGATGTCATCCCAATATAATCTCGAATTACTCCTGTGTCGTCCGTAACCTCGGCTTTATAAACAACGCTCTTTGTAAGGCAATTATTGTTTAAGGGACATTCAGTGCTTTCTATGCAGTTACAGTTGTCTTTGGTAGATGCTACAACAACAGTTTTATTCTTTAAAAG